CTGGATACTAGAAAGAAAAATCTTGAAGAATTAATCTGAACCCTTGAGCAAGATGAGGGGTCTGAATTCACTGATGAAGAGAGAGATGGTAGTGGTTCAGGTGATAATGACCAGGAAGCAGCAGATGATAGTTCTAAGGAAGCCAGTGGTGAAGATGAAGAAACAGGTAAGGAAAGATCTGAGGAAAGCAGTACAAAAGACACTTCAGAGGAGAGGTCCAGCTCTGCTGAAGAGGAGGAAAAGTAAATACTGGTGAAGCCTGACTCAGGCTGCTGTTCTGCTGAAGAGGAGGAAAAGTAAATACTGGTGAAGCCTGACTCAGGCTGCTGTTCTGCTGAGCTGATGAAGCTGTGTGCTGCTGGGCTAATATTACCTTAAGATCTTGTGTAAGGAATTGTATGACTTTATGTGTAATGCTCCTTATGAGCAGTATGTTTACAGTATCCCTAACTGCAGTTATGTTACAATATATAGTCTATACTAAGTGTTAGTTGGATTTTAATTTGTGGCTAAAAAGGGAGAGAGAGAGTGTGTGTATAATAGAAAACAGCAGGTACAGCAGGAGGAAGAACAAAGAGAACTGGCTTGAACATATGTGCCTTTGTGCATGTGATATGAGACTTACTTATTTGCAGGAGTAACTACAGGTGCAGCTGATGAAATGTGTGATGACAGCTGACAGTGCTGTTAGCAATAAAGTGATATGCATGTCTAGCCTGGATAGGAATGAATGTATGCTAGAACTAGGAGCAAACCTTGTGTGTGTACTTCAGGATGTTATCCTGAAGGTCATAACATCCAGATCAGACTAGATGAATATGAGCAGAAAGTCTTATGCAACTCTTCAGGGGGAGTAGCATAGGTGTGTGTGACTTCAGAAGGTCATTCTGAATGTCTGGACATCCACAGGATGGATGCTTGTTTCTGTGACTGCAGAATGATGGTGATGAGCAGGTTGTGTGCCCAACTGATCTGATCAGTTGAGGGGGAGAACACCAGAAGTGTTACGCAAAGAGATGTGACATATGTACTGATAACTACCAGATGATTAACAGAATGAGCTAATAGTGAGAGCTAACTGTGAGGACTCTGAGTGGCTTGATCTAGGAACTAGCTGCATGACAGGACACATCATAAGTCTTCTGCTGTGTGTAACCTCTGATATGTTAACAGGTTGTTTTAGCCAAAAATTTGCCAAATGGGGAGTTTGTAAGTGCTCTTGATTGGCTGCATTTTATGGCAAAACTTTAGAGTATGCATGTATGTCATACTGATTGTTAGGACATACTTAATGATGTGTGTGCAGGGTAAGTTAACTATAAGTTAAGCTGAATGTCATACAAAATGTCATAACATTGAACATATGACATCCAGCGGGCAAGGTTGTTTTTCTGGTATCTATAAACTAGGAAACAAAATAATTACCCAAGCTGGATATCAGGAGGATTTCTAGAAGCCCTAGGCGAACTAGAAGATCACTGAATTAAGTGGCAAGTGTGAATCTCTTTGAGAATAGGTTTTGATATGGATAAAACCTAATTAATGCACCAATGCCCAAAAGGACTGATAGCTGTTATAAAGATCAAAAGATGCAATCCTGAACAGCAGCACTTGACAACAGAAGGAAAAAGAGTGCAGATTGCAGAGTCCAGAGTCTTGTGTAAGTGAAGAAGGCTAGTCTTCACGTGTGAATTCTATCTAAGAATACTTGTAATCCAAGAAATTGTCTGGTGGATGATTTGCATTGGATAGGTAGATTCTAGGATGTGTCTCACTCGAAGCTTTGAAGCAAGAGTGTGTGAGTTCCTTGATCAAAGCTGTGAAGCAAGATCAAGGGGTGTATGAAGTGTCTCTTCATATTGTTTTCTGTAATTGCTTGATATCACTGTTGTGTGGTTGAGGGGGAGTGAGTGGGTATACTCAGGTCTAGAGTGTCTCTAGGTTGAAGTGTCATTGGGTAGGGATTAAGTGAGGAGTGTAAACTGGAGGTTTAACTCTGAATTGATACTACTGACAGTGAATTTCCTCCCTGGCTTGGTAGCCCCCAGATGTAAGTGTTGTTGACACTGAACTGGGTAAACAATTGTTGTGTTATTTATTGCTTTGATCATTGCTGAGTATTAGCTGTTAAGTAGCAGATGTCACAGTGGATGTTATAACCTTGAGAATAACATCCATCGTGTGCTTGCCAGAATTTTCAATGACGAACGTCAAATCATCCAAATAAAAGAAACTGATGGCTGAAGCGAGAGCGAGGCATGGAAAACAGTCTGCTCCTAAGAGTGATCTGCCGGGTATTCGAACCCGAACTCTCAAAAGGAAGAAGATGGATTTGTCAAAGCCTCCCTTGTTGTCTCAGAGCCTCAGACTGCTTCCATTCCTCTTTTTGGGGAAGCAAAGTTAGGTTCTCCAAAGAGGATGAGGACTCTGATGAGTGATAATGTCAGCCAGGCCGACTTGAAAATCACTACCCTGATGCAGGATTCAGGCAGTAACCAACAATCTAATCCATCCACTGAATTTAAGTTCTGGTCAAACATTTTTGACGGCTTGAAGTATCTCTATGATCATGTTAACGCGATAGAGGATATCAAAAAGGTGAAGACCATATGTGCTCAACAGATGACCCAAAACCTTAAGGCCTACTTGATGAGATACAGAGTCATGACCCAGGGTCTGTTTGAAGTTGGTGATGCTTATGAGCAAAATGAGACCCGTCTTAACAAATATCTGACCCAGTTGAAGGGTAATTTGAAATTCCAGACTAACAAGATGGAGAAGCTAAACCAACAACTATCAGAGATGAAGAAGCATAAGGAGACTGCAGAGTTATCAGTTGTCAAAAATGAAGAAGCAAAAGGGAACCGCAGAATCCAAGTGTTTAGAGCTTGAAGTGTTCACTGTCAGTTTGATCCAAGAAATGGATCAAACTCAGGCTCTTAATGAGACTTTAAAGAAGTCAGTTCAAAATGTTTAGCTAGACTTGCTCTCAGCCGGTGATGAAGGTTTTGAAAGAGCCAAAGCTCAAGTGTTATGTATCATGTCTGAACTTGGCGTATCAAAGATAAAAAAAATTTAAGACTGTGGTGGATGACCAACTTGTGGATATGGAAGAAGCTTCACCTAAAGTAAAGGTTTTGAAGAACGTGGCGATCAATAATTCAACCCCCGAGGCTCAGGAAGAGGAGGAGCATCATGATGTTTAAGTTTGTTTATGTTTGTTGTTGGCCATCAATGGTGATGTGCCATTTGTAATTTTTGAACAATGTCTACATTTTTGATGCATGTTTAAATCCCTCAAGGGGTCCCTTTTGAGTATGACAATATTATTTTGTTATCCCATGACTTATGCTTTACATTTAGTATGTTTTTGTGGTTGCCTTTAATGCACACCATTTTATTCCTTTTTAATATCTGATCCGTTGTCGTACACGGATCAAAAATGAGTAATTAAAAATTGTAGTTTTGAGAAGCAACACTCGAGTCGTATCGTAAGTACTCTTATATTGATTTTTATTAATAGAAAGGAACAGTGGGGTGTTTAAGTTTTAATCAAGATAGATGATGACGACGACGATGATGATGATGATAAACGATTAACAGAATTTTATGAACTAGTTAGTCTACTGTTTCGATTTTCAGCTTATCACTGATTTCTACCTCACAAATTCTCTAAGTAGATTCAATCTCTATTTGATCCCTATATCGATTGACAAGTGCAATGGATATAATACTGATTGACACTCATATTATCCAAATAAAGCAAACGGATTAAAGCAATCACGAATTAAACAAACTTGATTTTAACATACGCAAATTAATGACAAAGTTACGTCAAAAACAATTATAATTTAGGATGCAAGCATACGAAATTAATCAAAATTATTCCACGAAATAACAAATTAAACAATTGAATTTCAGAAAATAGAATTGAAAGAGAAACAAAATTTAATTGATAAAAGTATAAACCTCAAAATTTGATGGAAACACGATTTAGCATATCAACTATAAGAATTTGTTTTACATGGAATCCTTGCGGCTCAATGTTTTAATTTTCGCGTAAAACTATCTAACCTAACAATAGTGTTGTACTTTAGTTTAAATAGTATAGTAAATCGGGTTAAAAGAGCATCCGACCCAAATTACACAAATCCAGCCCAAAAATTAATTGTTTTATTTAAGTTTGGAACTAAAACGAATTATTCGAGTCTTATGCACTTCAAATCTGCTTCTTCCTTCAACATAATTTTTTTAGCTTATCCTCTCAGCTTTTCAATGCATATTAGAATGCGTCAATCTAATTCTTATAGCTCGAGTTATGACTCCACATTGAGAAGGTGTCAAATTAATGTTTAATCAAAAAATGAGCACTTATTCGAAGAGTTTCAAATGAAAATCTCAAAGCTATAGAAAAAAATTCTAATGAGGGAGAGTCTTGGGTGTAATTGGATGTGGATGGCGAAAGATTGAGTTTTGATAATACTTTGTGCATGTAAAAATATTTAAACAGTAGGAGTTAAATTCCAATAACTTGGCAATTAATTTGGGGGTAATTTTTGAAGTTGAATCTAATGTTTCATAAAGTCTGTTTGTCCTCCAGAAAAGTTGGAATATGTTTTCTCAAAATCCATAAGAATCATGAGAGTACTAACTAATGCTTGAATTAGTGCTTTAAATTGGTAATGGAACAGTGCAGGATACTGATTTGTCAAATGCAAAAATGTTAAACTGTTGTATCATAACTTAAGGATCAAGGTAGCATCTTTTTTTCAAGAAATCACTAGTCTAGTAGTTCAAAAATAGAAACAGAGAGGAACCAATTGAGTTGTTATAATTAGACAAAATTAATCTGTTACAGTGTATGTCGTCATTATCATTCAGATGAACAAATTTCATCCATTCCCAATAACGGAATAAGGAAAATATTTACAAGTTTAAAATATGCCTATTGTACAAAAACTTTCAACACTAGTCTATATCTGTCTCTTGCAGTTGTAGGTTTATAGTCCATTGAAGTGAGAAGTAATATGCAAGAAAACATCTTCTGTGCAAGGAATTGTTAAGCCACCCATTGGATGATTATACCCGAATTCTTCCTCTGCTTCACTGAGCAACTCTTGAAATGAAGTTTGGTTCAAGTATGACATGGGGATCACAAACCGCTTCATCTCTTGTCCAATATACACGGCAAGATAGCCCTTTGGCATATTAAGTACCTTTGATGATGTTCGGCTTCTGCTTAATGAAGCGCATCTAATAACTGCAGGTAAATGAAAGCCCATTTCAAATGTTTCAAACAACAAGTAAAGCTCTCAAATATAAGAAAAATGTATCTAACTTTTGATGGTTGAGTATGCAAATGAGTTTGATTGTTGTGGAGGAAGATAGTGCATTTATAAGAGTTTCTTAAAATCTATTTTGTTATGTGGTTGTTAAATGATGGGGTCCATGAGATGAAAGATCACATGATATCTCCTTTTGATGTCACTCTATCAAGAGTGCATATATACACCACACATTTTGTAGATCATTCACTTGGAAGTCATATGAGATAGGAAGGTTAAAATTAGTTCTTAACTTATGGCCACTCATGTATATTGTAAACATGTGCCATGTTCTCTTCATATTGGTAACACGGCTCAATATCGACATATAGCAGCAAAAATTATCTTAGGGATGACTTTTAAGCCAATTAGTGGCTACAAATCATCTATGTTAGGAGGCAACAATGGAACCTGTATCAAGGGATTGGTCACCAGTCATCCTGACCAGAGTAGTAGTAGTACAGGTTTGAATCCACAAGTAGCAGAAAACTGTATTCTGAAAATTGAATTATTAATATCAAAGGTCCTATATATTTCACTTTCAATAATTGCAGTCTTCCGAAGAAAAGTCTAGCAACAACTCCCTTATAAGGAGGATTGATAAAGGTTGTTAGATGATTTTTTCAGCTTATAAGAATAGTAGTATGTTAGCAGAACATTATTGATGAACCTATTTTAAAATGTTGAGCAATGATTTCTAGGGAAACAAGTAGAGTTGTATTTATGATTCATAATATTTTTTCATGTTTCTTGCAGAGGACTTATGTTTTCTCTAACTCAAAAAGAAACTATGCTTAATGTATGATTAATATATTTCTAATTTTGAGAGTTTTATAACAACAAAGATTGAATTTTAAGAATTTATATAAGCCCTCTAAAACCCTCCCAAAGTCTTCCTTTCCTTCCATTTTTCAAAACCCTCGTCTCTCTTTCTAAACTCTTAAACAGAAACTTAAGAAAGACGTTTTTACTCTAACTGTTTTAGTTAATGTTTGGCTGAATTGTGGAACCAAACTTCATGTTTTGATCCATGTCACTTATCCAATTGATATATCAGCCACATTTTACGGTTATATCAACAATATGGCAGTAGTCTGTCTATACAAAGTTGCAGCAGCTTCCAAGAAGATTGCATGGTTTATTGATTGGATACCATGTACTGGTAGATACCACTTGTCTTACAAAAACAAGAACAATATATTTGATGTGTTTAGAGCTTGTCTGAAATATATATTAAATAAGCCATCTCTGGTCTTTTTCATAGACTAATTTTCCGAAAGGTGGGGTATGTAATCTCACATTTCTAAGAAAGCCTTCAAGACAGTGCCATGTGATCATTAATGAGCCATGGCTCCCATTAACACTCATTCAATAACTCATTCACCATACAATTAGTTTTCAAAGTCTATATATATCCATCATTGGGTTTACAAGCAACACAAACCATTCACACCTTGAAGCATAAAAATTCAAGTGCACTTCTTTCTTCTACTACTTCTTTGAGATCATTCTATTGTCAATAAACCAAAACAAGAATGGGTTTTCGCTTACCTGGTATGGGACGATCATCATCTAGCAAACAAGTGGATGTCCCAAAAGGCTATCTTGCAGTGTATGTTGGAGAGAATGCGAGGAGGTTCTCGATTCCAATATCATTCTTGAACGAGCCTTTATTTCAAGAATTGCTTAACCAAGCCGAAGAGGAATTTGGTTACTGTCATCCAATGGGTGTTCTTACAATTCCTTGCAAGGAAGATGTCTTCTTACATACAGCTTCTCGCTTGAACAACTTATGATTAATTCATACGGCAAAAAATTCATGTGAAATTTAGCATAGAACAGTGTAGATTGACTAGTTGAGACAATTTTTGTACATCAGGAATTTCTTTATCAATTTTGATGTTTCCTCTCAAGTGGAAATCCGAAATGAGAACATAATCGAATTATATTCTGATGAATTCATCTGTTGATTTTTGTGTCATCTTAAATAATTGCATAGCATGCACAAACACAAGCCAAAGAAGTCATTCCCAAATTTAATGGATAATGTCTATTGCATACTAATAATAGATACGGTAATGCAAAACTGGTATATATATTACAAGGCCATACATGAGTCAACAAATCTCAAAACAATGTTTTAATCACCGATTAATTTGAATTTGTATGTTGCATTTTTATGTGATGTTTGAAGAAGATGATGGAATTTACAATCACAGGGAATTCCCGTGCTCTTCACATGGACTTATTGTCGAAGTTGTTGTCAGAAAGCATTCAATTAGTGGTAACCCTTTACTCTAAGTTCCTAGCAGCCCTCCACTATATGTAAAAGTTTGAATTATGTATTTACTAATCAAGAGTGACTAGACAATAAAAGACGCAGTTCACATGTTTTCCATGACTAAACAGAGTCTGAACAGAGCATATAGTAATTAATATTAGACAAAATTAATTATAACATAAAAATAAAAGCTACGCCCATCAATAATAGAGTTTTCAGGCTTACCACTTATTAAACCAATTATGAAAAGTCTTCTATTGCCAGTTCTCTGTGTTCAGCCATAATCTACACATAAAATGGCGGTTAAACATGAATTTCAAGTCAATATAAATAACATAATTCAAAGTTATGCTGGACCATCAGCTAAAACCAAGTAATATGCTCTGCCTATATGAACAGACAAAACAAACATTTAAGTGTCCTGCAACTTATGCTCAGTTCATTGCTGTTCCTAGATGGCGAAGCAGTTGATAGAATAGAATCATACAGCATGTAAAAAAAAAATTTGAACTTAGATACAAGGTAACTTATGTACAATTATAGTTTGGCTAAATAATTAATTAGGCCAATAAATGCAGAATAATTGGTTTGATAATGATAACCATTCCATTCAATATGTTGCAAATTTTCTCAGGGTGTATTTTTTTCCTTCAAAACTAGTAAAATATTACGGATTGGACAGAATTTTGATAAACAATATAGTTTCTGTTTTTAGATTTTATAAATAGAAGCATATAGGAACCCAATCAGTTGTTGAATATAATATGTCATTATGATTAGAAATAAATAATAACAAATATTTTGTTCTTGAATTTGTCATTCAGATGAACAATTCTAACCTATTCCAAAAGTAGGGAAAGGAAAAATCTATACAAATGCAAATTGTGACTGTTGTACAAAATGTCACTGCTAATCTAATGTCAGTCTCTTGCAGCTCTAGATTTATAGTCCAATGAAGCGAGAAGTAATATGCAAGAAAACATCTTGTGTGCAAGGAATTGTGAGGCCTCCCATCGGATGATCATATCCGAATTCTTCCTCTGCTTCACCCAACAAGTCTTGAAATGAAGGTTGGTTCAAGTAAGACATAGGGATAACAAAGCGCTTCATTTTCTCTCCAACATACACTGCAAGATAACCTTTTGGCACATTCAATGCTTTTGCCGATGTTTGGCTACCTGTAAAAGAAGCACGTCTAATAGAAGGTAATCGGAAACCCATCTTCTAATGGTTTGAAAAATAAGCTGAATTTCTCAGATTTAAGAAAAGTGTATCTAAATTTGTTTGCTTGAGTGGTTTGTGATGTTGTGAAGGAAGATGGTGCATTTATAGTTTCCAATAGTAACTTGAAATGATGGGGCCCATGAGACAAGAAATCACATGGTACTGTCTTAGATGCCTCTATCAAGGATCAATAAATTCAACAAGAGTGCAAACCGTAACCACTGAAAATCAGATGAGATGTGTGCTTGTTAAACTCAATACTTGTACAATGCCTACTCATTTCTTCTCAGACATGCATCAGACATGGCACATGTTCTCTTCATATTGACAACACAACTTAATGTTGATATATGATCTGTACAATTATCAGAAATAACAGTCATACACTATTTTATGAAGGGCCTAGTTGGAGATAATCAGACTATGGTTCACAGCAGATCACACGCTACTGTCTAGAAGTCTTTCTCAAAGATTGAATAATTGCTTAAGAATTGAGAGTAATTACACGTATGTCCCCACATTAAGAAGTTGTGCAAACATGGTGACTATTCGCAAAATGAAATTTGACTACAAAGATAAGAAAACCTGTTAATTTTTAAGCCAATGCATTGACATGATTCTTATGTTTTCAGCATGCCGGCATTCCTCTGACCTCCTATTATAGCAAATTATTTCTTAGCAGCTTTTGGCATATGACTTATAGTAATAGCTTGTCCATAGAAAGGCTGTGTTAATCAAATTTAAAATTTCATCCAAATCAGTTGTTTACTTGTGTTGAAGGTGAATATACAGCCAGATTATACGGTTACAACAAAATGTGGCAGCGGTCTATCCATATAAAGTTGCATAATTTTTAAGAAGATTTCATTGTTTATTGATTGGATTTAAAGTACTGGTAGATATCACTTGTCTTATAAAAACCACAACAAGATATATGATGCATTTAGAGCTTGTCTATGATATATTAAGTTAGCTATGTCTTTTTCCAAAAGGCGTGGGGTATGTGATCTCACATTTCATACAGTCCTCTATGAAAGCCTTCAAGACAGTGCCATGTGATCATTAATGAGCCATGGCTCCCAGTAACGCCCACTCAATAACTCACTCACCATACAACTGGTTTTCAAAGTCTATATGATAGGGGGAGAGATAAAGCAATCGGCAGGGAGGCATTACTCCCACACGGAAAAAAAACGTGCAACCAACCTTGGAAAGAGAGGGGTGGGGTTTGGTTTCTCTCGCTTTCTCTTTTCCTCCCAAAGTTCTATCCTTATAAGCTTTATACACAAGGCAAGAGCCTTCGGGTATTCTTTTCTTCGGATGATAACGGTATGACCAAAAGGGCGAGACCCAGGAGTATTGATGTCTAGGACCGGCTCAAATCTATTGTCGTCGAACCGAATACCACTGAGTGGAATATGGAGGGACTTATGGCAGAAGGGACCAATCTAGTCTTTCACAATAACGTGATAGGTGGAACTGCCATTAAACGACTTATTAGCAGATTAATAGATCATTTCGGATATATATATATATATATATATATATATATATATATATATATATATATATATATATATATATATATATATATATATATATATATATATATATATATATATATATATATATATATATATATATATATATATATATATATATATATATATATATATATATATATATATATATATATATATATATATATATATATATATATATATATATATATACCTTGAAGCATAAAAATTCAAGTGCACTTCTTTCTTCTACTACTTCTTTGAGATCATTCTATTGTCAATAAACCAAAACAAGAATGGGTTTTCGCTTACCTGGTATTAGACGATCATCATTTAGTACAAGCCAATCATCTAGCAAACAAGTGGAAGTGCCAAAAGGCTACCTTGCAGTGTATGTTGGAGAGAAAGCGAGGAGGTTCTTGGTTCCAGTATCATTCTTAAACGAGCCTTTATTTCAAGAATTGCTTAGTCAAGCTGAAGAGGAATTTGGTTACTGTCATCCAATGGGCGGTCTTACGATTCCCTGCAAGGAAGAAGTCTTCTTACATACAGCATCTCGGTTAAACGGCCTATAATTAATTCATACAGAATAAAAAAGTCATATTTGTATTTTAACATAGAACAATATAGGACTGAGTAGTTGAGACAATTTTTCTACTTCAGGAATTTTGTTATGTTTCCTCTTAAATAGAAATCTGAAATGAGAATATCATCAAACTATATTGTTGACTTGTGAATTCAATTCGTGTGTTGTTTATTGTTATCTTAAATACTTTCATTACATGCACAAACACAACCCATGTACCAATTTTACAGAAAAACGGACTATTATATACTAATAGATTTGGTAATTCAAAAGTGGTATATATTACCACGCCATACAAGATACAACAAAACTCAAAATAAAAATTCTTTAAAGGAAAAACCATTCTTTAACCTACAAAGATATTTAACTTGATTGTCAGATGATAGAATTTTGGAAGCAAGTTAGTACTCCGTATAAATTAAATTAAAAAACATACCAAAAACTGATCACACAATATGTTGCGTTTCTGTAGTGATGCTTGAAGAAGGTGGCAAGGACCACAATCACAAAGACTTCACGCGCTCTTCACATGGACTTGTCGTCGAAGTTGTTGTCCAAAAGCACGCAATGAGTGGCAACCCTTTAGTCTAAGTTCCTAGCAGCCCTCCACTACTCATGAAAGTGTACTATATTTGTATTTTGTTAATCAAAAGATTATCACAACCTCCCTACATTTAGTATACTCAAATTAAAAATATGCTTTTGGTAATTAAAATTGAAAAGCACAGTTCATATGTTTCAGGGGCCTAATTCCATGACTAAACAAAGTCTATATGTTAATTAAGATTAGAGACATAAATAATTAGAGCCTAAATCAGAAGCAAAACCCAAGAAATAATAGATTCCAGGCTTACCACTTATTAACCCAATAATGAAGAGTCTTCCATAAAGATACAAATAAAAGTAGTAGTTCAACATAACTTTCAAGTCAATATAGATATTATATAAACTATAGTTTTAAAAGCCGCAGAGAGGAGTAATGGTTTAAAAGTGGACAACATAAGTTCCTCAACAATTTCTAAGATTTAACAACTACCAAATGAATTAGAACACTGCCTTTTCAATGAACTAAAGGTTGAAAGAATACAAAGTATGGCAGGTTTTAAATCCTTATCTAAATCCTGCTAGTTCAGTGAAAGGTGACCATGGTGGATGAATGTTTTGAGATTGACCCCACTGTGGAAGTGCTAAAAATTAATAAACTCCAAGAAAACACAATAAGTGGTAAAAGCTCCGAGTGAGAAGCGCTTTACCAACATGCATTTAAAGAGAAACTCTAACAGGACAAATTATGAACATGCATGCATTGGTACTATCAATTACTCCATACTATAGAGGAATATGATTGCTGTCATCACAATGGAAGGTCTACAATTCTCTGCAACGAAGATCTGTTCTTACAGCTTCTCGCTTAAACGGCCTGTAATTAATTCATACTGCAAAAAAAAAGTCATATGAAATTCTATATAGCAAAATAGGAATTTCTTTTGTTAATTTTAATGTTTCCTCTTAAGTGAAAATCTGAAATGGGAACCCTACCACACTATATTCTTTTGAATTGATCTGTTGTTTTTCCTATCATCCTAAAGATTTGCTTTGCAGGCACAAAAACAAGCCATGCACCAATTTTACGGGAACTGAACTATTCATACATACATAGTAGATATGGTAATGCAAGGCTGGTTATTCTATTAGATATATAGCAAAGCCATACGAGGACAAAGCTCCAAAGATATAATAAATCTTTAAAAAAAACCACAACCTATAAAAAAGTTCAACTTGTTTTACACATGATAGAATATTGAAGCAAGTTAGTAGCATTGAAATGAAATGAAGACAAGAATATACCAATAATTGAAGAAGGCGGTGGTAACCATAATCACATGAACTACCCGCGCTCTTCATATGGATTGATGAGGCCATAGTTGCTAAAGGCGGCGGCAACCCTTTACTTTGAATTCTCCTCAACTATTCATAAAAGTGATTGTAAGTTAAGAGTCAAACATAAATTAAAATGAAAAAGTCATCACAGTTGTTTAAAGCCAGAAACTCGTCCAAACTACGACATCACAGTTTATCAATTTTAAATGGAGAACTTTGACTAGTTAGACACTTAAGAGATAGTTGGCAGTGAGAGTATGACTGTTGAACTTAAAAAATACCCATCCAGTATGTCCGCTACTCGTGGGTTCAAACATGTACTACAAATGTATTTTATTTTGACTGCTGACCAAGCATTTGATGAAAGTTCCCTCTTGCCTCCCTACAATTATGATGATTTGTATCCAACTGTGCATTATCTATCTACATTAGAATTCACACAACAGCAGAACTAAAATGTCGGCATCGAGACGTGTTATCCATATGAAGAAAACATGTGACATGTCTAATGCGTGTCTACCATAATAAATCAAAGCATTAAGTTCAATCTAGCCATTTCATTTGACTCTCAATTGGGTTGTCTGTCTATCTACTGGCCTTTCATTGAGAAGGTGGACCGTCGAAGACAATACCATGTGGTGATGCCTCATCTTATGGACCCCATCCTTTAATTTATCAAAGAAATGGATTTGAAGAAACTCTTGAAGAGTCTATAAATACACTATCTTCCCTCATAACCAACCATCACAGCTCATTCGCATACTCAAGCATCAAAAATAAGATAAATTTGAGATCGTTAGCTTGTTATTTGCAACATTTAAAATGGGCTTCCGTTTACCTGCAGCTATTAGACGTGCTTCATTAAGTAGCAGCCAAACATCATCAAAAGTAGCGAATGTGCCGAAGGGGTGTCTTGCAGTGTACGTGGGAGAAGAAATGAAGAGGTTTGTGATCCCTATGTCATACTTGAACCAAACTTCGTTTCAAGACTTGTTGAGTCAAGCGGAGGAAGAATTTGGATACGATCATCCAATGGGTGGCCTCACAATTCCTTGCAGGGAAGATGTTTTTTTGCATATAACATCTTGTTTCAATGGTCTATGAAGATGCAACTGTAGAGAGTGACATAGATTAGCATTGAAATTTTGTAAAACATAGGCATGTTGTAAATATTTTCCTTTTCCCTTTGAATGGGAAAATGGGTGAAAATTGTGTATATGAATGAGATAGAAACACAATTTGGCAATGTATTAGTTGATGTTTTGGCCAACACAGAATTGAATTGAAAGCTATGGTGAAGAATATATGAATTAGAGAGAAGAGTGAAATGAAAGTATACATAACAATAACAATGAATCAGAACAAGAATTTAACTATGCATAATAGAAGTAGGAGACACCCCCAATTTCAAAATCGTCATGAACACCACATACCTGCACTGAAATTGAAAGGAAAACAAAACCCTAAACTCAAAATCAATGAGAAAAAGGAATGAAATAATGGTAAACAAGCAAAACCTAAACGCGAAACAAAGAGAAAAGGAACGTGAAATAATGCAGTAAAAGGAAACCCTAACCAGAGAAGAAGACGAACGAGAGAGGAAAAAAAATGTCAAAAAAATTTGGACCATTTCTCGATTTGTGCGTGTCATCCTTGCGCAGGGGCCATGCTAATCTTCTCTGTATCGTTCCAATTTTATCGGATGTCCCCGAAGGGACAAGCTATAAGTGAGTTGCTGTAGTATATAAATGTAATAAAATGAAACAAAGCAGTCGATGTGGAACTAAACGTAAGTAAATAAACATAACACACTTACTTCTCCTTCTGCTTACTATTTCTCTTCTTCAATCAATCTGCATCAATATGTATGATTGTTATGTTGCCTCAACTTCACTTAATTAGCAGTGATTAATCATATATATCATCATTAATTCTACACACCATACTCAACAAAATTCTTTATCCACTTCTCATATATGCTCGCATACTATTTTTATTTTTTTTTTACAAAAATACTCACATACTATTTTCTTAACACATATGAAAGCAACTAGCAAGAAAACTAATTAATCACCTAATTATTCACTATCCATTACTATTATCTTTATTTATTATACTTTAATCATCTATTTACTAATTATTAATTACTCTTTACTCATTAATTAATTAGTTGTTTACTCGTTAATCATTAACTATATTTTTAGTTATTTTTTGTTTATTAATTGATTAACCATATTCTATTAATCAATTTTTCGTCATGCACTTCATTAATAGATTTTCTTAATCCTTAGCGAATTATCTAATTTAATTTTAACTAATTCATTTATGTTGGTATATCAAGTGTGAGTACGAGTCTCACATCGAATGGAAAATTGAATGTTAAACATTTCATAAGTGATAAGGCTCATATACCCAATGCCTTAAGATTTTGGGTTAATATGTGGTGTTCAACTCATTTAAAGTGAATGTGTTAAGGGTTGATATGCGGTGATCCTCAAGCCTTTTCATGACACAAAAGTGGTATTAGAGCCCTGGTTGGCTCGGTGGGGGAGCGTGACTGGATCCTAGTGTGGATCAAGGCTAGTGATGTGGGTGACTAACACTTGTGAGAGAGATTTTTGAGTTTCAAGTGTGAAAGTGTTAAAGTCCCACGTCGACTAGGAATGTAGGAAATGTTTGATTTATATGGATGAAAGAGTTTTCACTTGAGAGATAACATTATGGATAGACTCACACTTGAGGGGGGTGTTGAGAATAACAAATGCGCCTTGAAAAATGAGTACTTTATTGTTGAACAAATTTTGTCCGTAACTGGATGACCATTAAGACAGTTGATGAGTACTCCACAAAGCATGTTGGGATACTTGAGTGACCTAGATAGAATTTTCTCACCCTGTGTAATAGGATAAATGTTTATGGACCCAATATTGAACTAGACAAGAGTGACACGGCCTATGCATTGTGTTCAATATAGACATAAGAGCAACAAGGTAATTGTACATAATAATGTTATCATGAAAAAGTTTTGTCAGATCATATGACACTTTTGTGACTTAGGTAGCAGTGATGTGTTGCTAGATACTGCTTGTTCTTTCTAATCACTAAAAG